GTACACTGATATGGCCTCCTGTTGTGCATTGACCTGCCCGGCGATGGTGTACATCTTTAGTTCATTACACACTTACAGATTATTGCCAAATGTAAATCTATAGTGTTGTGCGCTACATTATGTGGAAGATTACATATTGGGAACGATGCGGGAACATTGAGGCTAGGCATGGTATTTTATGAGCAAAAAATAAATAAATTCAAAAACAGTCGCCAACTTAGAAAAGTTACCTGTTTTATTTAATTATTATTATTTTAAATTATTTTAATCAAAATATTAAAATACAGGTCAGGTCTAATTTGAATGTCAATATTAAGCTTGAAAGGACACTCCTGTATTAAATATTATACCTATATAAAGTCTACGCCTTAGAAATAACACATTATTATTTAATTTTTTTTAAAGATGACGCGTTATGCTTTTTCTGAAATGTTTTTCCTTTATATAAGGTGGCTCAGGATGTAGACCAGGTCAGAAATTAATCGTGAAGGTTAGTAGTTTGATTCCCTGCTCCCATGCATGCCAAAGGCAATGTGAGTTGAGTGTGTGTGCAAATGGGTGAATGAGACATAAAGAAAGCACTTTTAATGCTCAAATTGAGTAGAAACTTGCTATACAAGAACCAGTAAATTTACCAATGTTACAATGGTACATGCTCACATTAAACATGGTCAAAATTTAATTAATGACACTGAATGTGTAAGCAAGATAGAGGTGGGCAGATCGATTCAAAAATCGATAGTATCAATACCAATGCTAACATTGCTAGTATCGGATCGATACTACGAGATGATAGGATTGATGCTTTGTTTCTATCGTCTAAGTTAGCTGCCTTTATAGGTTGAAGTACTAGTACTTGTACTGGTATCAACATCAGCAAATCAGAAGAATGTTGGCTTAAAAGCAAGGAGCTAAGAAATGGCTCTTTCAGACAAAGGATGAACTGGAGGTTTACACCAAACCTCGTGCAAAATAAAATAAGGATTGTTTTCAACTGCAATCCAAGAATAAAAATATAAAATTTTAAAATGATCATATTTAGCTGATTATTTGAAAACAAGCCTGCTGTCAGTACCCCTGCTCTATTCTGTCTTTCAAGACTGCAGTCTTTGTATTGTCCAGTGTAAAATGGCTCCCTCTGTGTATGTATTTCGTATTAGTTAACCTTTATTTCAACACTGACATGACTCACAGATGAAACTAATCAGCACCTCTCATGCTCACTTCCCATCTGTCTTGGCTGCTGTATGTGTATTTATGCATATCTCAGCATTTTATGAACCATGCTTGTGTTCAGACAGTCCCAAGAAACACAAAAAAATAATTTGCTAACCACTTTGTCCTCCTGTTGCAATTCCATGAGAGCAGGAATGCAGCAGAAAGAAATAAAGAGGGGAGACAGATTAGAGGGGAGAGGGGGCAGGAAAGATGGGGGAGAGAGAGAGAGAGATTGTGAGTGGCATTAGTAGGTCCTCGTAGCACTGTCACATACTCGATCAGCACATTTTTGAACGGCATCAAATAAAAACACACATTTAAAAGGCCTAAAAGCTTTAGCATAGTCTTGTACAGTGGTTAGCTGGGCATCGAAGTGCCACATTATACGAGAGCAGTCATCGGGCTCCTCTATGAGATAAGAAAAAGGAGGGACAGCTCCCTCGAGTGGTCAAATGGAAGAGCTGTACGTTAACGTGTAAACGTCTATAGCTGTGAATGAACACATCAGAGAAAGAAGAATTAGAAACGAAGGCATGTGACTGGAGTACACGATCATGATCTGAAAAACATTAGTTGCCATTAGAGACACTGCTGGCTCAATCGCCGTGACTATGATTTTACAGCAAACTTTCATAACCTTGTATTAAATACAAACATATGAAAAACAAAACAAAAAAAACCACATTGCCTGGGTGGGGCATCAGCACATGTGGGAGTGTGTGTCCTTAATACCAACCACGGCATTACCTTATTTGACCGCAGAGACACTCGTCCTCCGCACCGAGCACAGAATTTCGTTTGGCAATATGAACAGAGGTGGCCACAGCCATCGGCAAACTTGGTTTTGTGGCAGATCCCGCAGGTTGGGGCTTCGCTCTTCTGGTCCTGACCCTGCTTTGTCTCCTCCCCCATCTTCTTAACTTGGTCCTTATATGACTCAAACTGCTGGTGCAATTTTCTGCAAGCAAATGGGAAGGGCAGAGGTTAATAAAAAAAAAAGGAGATACGGATTGGTGACCAATTAAAAACTTGAACATCGGTATATCATTGATTTTTTTTTTACTCATACAGCCTTTTTTTTTGTACTCCAGAAGTGCTATGTCTTATTCAGGATGAGTGGGAAAAAATGCTACAAACAAACTATTATTATGGATTAGATAAGTCTGAATGATCAATCTTGACATAGAGTATACATAACAAAGGCCGTAAGTATTGCACTGTTAGAGTGTCCAGTGCACACTTGTGGCAGTGTGGGAGACTCGTTTCACACTGGAATTATCCTTGTTGGATGACTCGTGGCTTGAGTCCTTTTCTCCAAATCACACTTCCACAAAAAGCTTCTGCTGTCAGCTGACTAAGTGATATAACCTCAGACGTATGCAGTGTGTTAGATTTTGAAAGGAAAAGCAGACGCCATGACCTCAGTAGCTTCAAAGCTGAGCTCCTCCTTTGATATCGCGCTTCGCCTAAAACACGGTGGGGGTGGGTATCAAATTTGCTTTGCAACTTTAAGAACATCACTTAATTCCACTTTCTCAGGTTCCATTGCGTTTAATGAATCATTTGCACCTGTGTTTCTATATCAGGACCGTTGTAAGGTGAGACCGAGCACACCTCGGAGCCATACTGTTAGATAATCATCTTCCAGATACACACAGTTATTACTGCTCTGGTGTATTATGCTCAGGCAATCATTTGTCATTGCTACTGCCTCTATTGTGTTACTCCTTGTGTCCTATAGATGGCCTCCTACTGGTACATTACATCTGATCTTATACAGTGGCTGCTTAACTCCTAACAAGTCCTCAGAGGCTCCTAAAAAAGCACGGGCTCTTCACATGCATTTTGTATGACACATGTCAATTGAGCGTCTCCTTGGAAACTAAACACTGGGCTGACTTCATAATATGGCGATTAGAATTGGTTTCAGCCCACATATCCCCTGCAACATTCATTAGCGCTTGTGAATTATTGAGCAGAGCTATCCTTTTACCACATACAGCTCTGCATTTGAGATAAACGTGTTTCCTTTGCTCACAACTAGACCTTTAGAGCCCAAACGTAAGGTCCACACACGCCACTTCGAGTCTATGTGTGGGTGTGTGGTAATGTGCACAAGTAACTGTGCCATCTGAACATTAGATCGAGTGCCACAGGCATGCCCCACGTTGTACCCACCGAGGGATTAAAGGGCTAATTGTGTCAGAGCCTTTTGTGTTTACCAGCAGAGATTAGTGTGTACCCTTGTTTAACAGATCCCACCAAATCTCATTTACTGACAGAGGGGCTGATAACAGATTGATCAAGAATATGATACAAGAGGTAAAGACTAGTCTCCCAGGATAAAGGAAATAAGAGTACAAACAATCGTGTTTTTTCTCACTTATCTCCCCTTACAGTCAAGCATTTAGAGAAATATGCGCCAGACAAGGTCACTTACACAGACCACTTCTAGCAGTCACTCAAACCTTTTTGGTGGGACAAAAAAAGAGTTGCTGATGCAAATCTGTGCACTAAAACAGATAACACATAGCAAGAATAACCTGTTTAAGCAGGGTAAAGCGTATACTGCATACAAAGTCAAGGTCATAAAGAGTAATGCAACTTTCATAAGTTTGCCTCTCTACACCAGAACAGTGAAGACATTTAGCTTTAAACCAAGAGTTATCCAAAATATAGCATTATCTGTTATGACTTACAGTTGATTAATGACCTGTTTCATTGCCAGGTGTGCAATCGTGTTCAGGGCAGATTAAGGAGAGTAAAGTTCTATGTGGTCCAAAGATGCGGCAATTCAATTGAACAAGGTCATTGTAAGGTGTAAAAAACAAGCAGTCCTAGGAGAGGCCAGGTCAGCATTCTGGTACGTTCCTTGGAAACAAGGAATGGACTGAGGAGACTAAGTAACATCAAGAAACAAGATAAGTTAAGAGCAATTAAAATTTATGTGATAGCCAATACAAAGAGTCTGTAACCTGCTGTGAGCCCAACTGAGCATGTGTTGTATTTACTTAACACAAAACTAAAGCCAAACTAGCAGTAACTGATGGTGGCTGTAAAACAGACTTCAGAGTCCATCACTGCAAATGACTTGCATCCAAGTATTAAAGATATTTTAGATGGTAGTAATTATATTTGTCAAATAACTTTGAACCTTTAAAAACTGGAATCACTATGTCTAGACTTGGCGGTAACTAACAACTTGTAAATGCAATATTATGATTCCTTAAATCAAAGCTGAAAGTCAATACTTTAATTAGAAGTTGATAACTTTAGTCAAAATCAAATACACTGGTGTAGAGGGGAACAATTAGGAGTTTACTGTCAGTGTCCAAATGCATCTTGCTGTATAAATGAAATATCCCAAAAGTAAAGAGACAACTATCCCAGACTAATCAAATGCAGGAAATAAGTTACTGAGTAAAACAGAATAAATGTACAGTCAGAGTAGAATCCCATGGCAGCCAACAGCTGGTACACAGTACCCATTCTTGCTTATCCAGTCAGACTCGGTCAAATATAGGTGATGCTGCTGACGAGTAATCATACGCTACTCATTGTCCCATCCCAAGCTAGCGTGTCGGAGCTCTCTTACCTCTCTGCCACACCAGAGCAGCTATAAGCAGCCGTAACACGAAACTCTCGCTTGGACGTATGACAGAGTCTGCATATCAACACCAAGCCTGAGCTACAAGCTCTCTACAGGGCTTGGGATTCCTCCTTTGTCACACACCACTGGAGCTGAATCCTAACTTCCTGGTGTCTTTATTATGCCATGCTGACCCTAAAACATCAGCAGTGGGTCTATTAATTGATTTATTGATTACTGATTGATTGATTGATTTCTACAAGATGAAGCAACTTACTGGGTGCAAATCAGATTGCCCAAATATCACAATTCTGTCTTGAGTTTGACTTTAAACTCTAGTTTAATTGCTTTATTGGCAGAAGAAGAATTGAGCTGACAAGTCTGCAGTGTCAGATTTTCACAAACTTTGTTACAGCTAAATAATCTAGACAGCAGTCCCACTACGTGCAGCATTCATTTCTCCCTCTGCTTTGGTTTGTTTTTTATTCATTTCAATAGCATGCTTGATACTCTGGTATGCAAGCTAATTGCACACAGCAATGTTTATCACATTGTTGTGTGGTTGCTGCTTCTGACAGTAAGTCTTATAAGAACCCATGGTTGAAACTTTGATGACATCTCCCTGGTCAAACATCTCGCTGTACAACTGCAAAAATAAAACCACAGACAGACCATTTTGATGCTGTGTCCAAATAGAATAGAACATATATGTCTAACAACTGTCTAATCTGTTGAATGGTAAACTTAAGGCATCAGACTGTTTCTATTGCCCCTCTGGCCCATTGTCACGATTATCAACCCAAACTTTTTTCTTGTGTGATGAGCACGCAACCCTGATATCATCAGTTTGAGTCTTCACAAAGGTATTTTTTTCCTCCTCATTGCCTCATTTTTTTCTAATCAATAAAGACATACCAGAAATGGTAGAAAACATTTCTTGAACACAAACATTCTCTTGCTGGAAAGTTTAAAAATGACGTCCAGCCAATGTTGAAGAAGTACTTTGAGCTGTCATCGCGATAACATCTGCCACGTCAGTTCAGCTTTCATTTGGGAACTTATTTGACCGTCAACAAAAAAACGTCAGCTGATGGTTATTCAACATTAAAATGTTTGTTGGGAGCACTACCACCACATCATATAAAGTAGCAAAGCTTTGTTCAAGCTAAAACAAGCAAAATGCTCCAGAAGGCACACAGATAATATTTTTTGCTGTATATCAGTATATTATATTATGAATATTATTTCTTGCACATTAACACTCATTGATTTAAGTGTAAAACTGTGATTATAGTGACCTTGGTGTCATACTTAATAAGCTGAAACAGTGTGGAAGGACGTAGAGATCTACACTGTTTCAGCCATCAGGAGGCGGATCCATTAGCAAGGTAATGCTAGCTAGCAGCAGTTAACACCATCATATTTTTTACAGGCAGTGAAGTCACATTTGTGGGGATGTTTGGTGGTTACGTTTTCTACAAATGTTATCTTCATTTATTATCAGCTTCATAGAAGAAATTAACATGAGTGCTGAGAATCTCAATAGTTTGCAAATGTTCACAAAATGCACTAGCTAGCATGACAATAGTGATAAACAATTCAAAAGATTTCAACTGAGTACACCACATGTCCCTGTACCCTATTGAAATTCAGAGAAATGAGTAATAAGTCTGAATTCTACAATGTTAAACAGTCTGAATTTAGACACGGAGCAACTATCTCAACCTCCCAACTTTGACCTTATCGTAGTTTGGTGGAGCTAGCAGCTGTGAAACTGGTTTCCTGCTCTATATTCTATTCCTCATAAAAACAAATCAAGCTAGCTAAAATGTTTATCTGTGTGGTTGTTAATGAAAGATTCAATTTTAACAGGAATTTAATAAGTGATGGGTTTTGGTAGGGAAAGATGTAATAATTATTATAAAAATAACCTTAAAGTAAATAATGATTTATGCAGGATTTAGTATTAGAGTCCTGATCAAAGATTAAGAATACACCGACATATATTATAAGACTAACTCCGCTCTCTGTCTTCTTGATCAGTGAGTGACCTGTTACAGCCAATAAATATGTCATTTATTAAAGTTAAATTCATTGTGGCACAACACTTCCACAGCACCCCTCGCCTATGTGCTTAAACCAGCAAACTGAGAAATTTCTAATCATTGTCTCACATCAACCAATGGCCAAACAAGCTGTGAATCCAGCTGCTCGGTTCACCCACCACTATATGTCGGTTCCTGCTGGGAGAAGATCAAAAAGGGGTCTGTACTTTTACTTACGCATTTTGCTCTGGCTCCTTGTCATTTGGGGACTTTTGCTGGGGCTGAAGAACGTTATTTACCAGCTCAGTGATCCCACTAAAGGGA